CTCAAATTGCTAACCCTCTAGTATACTTTTGTATATTTAGTGCAATTTATCTCATCCATTTGCTTTGTCTGTGCTTCAATCTATCACACTTCTGTATAAAGATATACTCGTACAGCTTTAAAATATTGATACTTTTACATATATAAGATATTTACGTTATTATCGCTTTACTTTTCTTTTCATGTAAATGTCGACAGTGTATTAAATATGCATAGCAGCAACTAGGTATACATATGTATATACTTCGCATTTATCACTCAAGTACAAAATGATTGTCGTTAGTAGATATGTGTATGTCACATCAATGTAATCTATGTACAAAAAAATATAATCATTTATAACCAACCGATTGGATATTTATAAATAACGCCAAGCACAAAAGATTCAATAAATAAATGGGTAATCAACTGAGAAAAAAAAATTGATTAAACAGGCACTGTAACTCATGTACACATATTACATATAACCATAAACTAGAGTATCTACCTGCATACCCATCTAATCTGATAAAAGTAAAAGTCGGGCGTTTGACAAACTCCTTTTTGCTTAAATAACCACTAGCTCACACATTCACGGACTAACACTGAGTACAAACTTTTTACACTTTCGTTGTGACAGCTAAACAATAAAAAACCAGTACGTCAGGGCGTATTTCGCTGACAAATGTCAGTTGCGTTAACACTTTTCGTTCTCCTTCATGTACTAAAAATTGAATGAACAAGAAAGAGGGTGTTTGTACGTAACACGTACATATACAGCTAGGTCCAAAAGTATTAGGCACCACACTAGTTACTTTTTTTGTTTTAACAAGTGAAGAAATGAAGTCTTATTAGTAAAACAGTGAAAATACAACGAATTTGTGATAATAACATTAATATTTAGTAGGTCCACCTTTCGATTAAATAATTCTTTTAGGCATACTGCGTACAAGCTTTGTACATTTGTCCGCACTTATAGCCTACCACTCGTTAATTAAGGCATTTAAGGCAGTTTTTGATGTTATACTGTGTTCCTTAATCTTGCGTTTTGAAATAGCCCACATGAGCTCAATGAGACTAAGATCTGGAGACTGTGCAGGCCGATCTAAAAAACAATGTTGTTATCTCTTAACCGGTTTGTGACAAGGAGTATTGGCTTGGCCTGAAATTAGTATCGCCGAAAACGCGCGTTAACTAAGGCGAAGGCTTCTAATAGATATATGTACTTTTGACGGTTCATGCGACCCTCGCAAACGAATATTTTACCGACCCCATTAACATCCGTGCAGCCCCAGATCATAATGCTGCCTTCTTCATGCTTAACAGTGGGTACCACGCAATCGCGATGATATTCTTCCCCAACCCGTCGCCTCACGAACGTCACACCAGGTATTCCAAATATCTGTAGAAAAGAAATAAATAATGTTTTCATAAGATTTGTACGATGTGTGCAAAATTGCTATGTCTGTTAATAGTTTAAGATGATCTTAACTAAGCTTATCTCGAAGTTTGATTCATCAGACCACAGAACATTCGACCAATCTTCTTCCGTTAAATGTTGGCATCGGCAAGCCCATTCCAAACGCTTTTACACCTGCTTCCAGAAGTTTTCTTGCCTTCTTCTAGCTGTTCGAGCACCAACTAGTTTACAAAAATTTATCCGAAAGGGCAGCTGCCAGGGCAGCTTGAGAGACTCGCATATAAGTATTCGGTATGCTCGCTTACTGGTTAGACGCTTTCTTCCACATTTCCATTCATTATTGTGGGATTTCGTTTCCACAAATCGCCTGATAGCTCATTGGACCGCGCACCGCGAACATCCCACCAAATGAGCAATCTCAACCTGAGACTTATCTTCTTCACTTAGAACTTGAATTCTAACTCTATCATCGTAACTAATTTCTCTTTTTGGGCGTTTCGGTAAATATGAACTGTTCTTACAAAATTGGTAATTTTTCAGTCAATGTAATTCACATTTTCACTTTAAAATTTTAAATGCGAAAATATTTTATGAAGTTTTTAAAAATTACATTTTTAGGTTTAGCTTACCCAGAGTGCCATGACATTTAATATTATACAATTTATTCTTTTAATCAACAGCTAACAACCATGTAAGATATTTACAAAAAGAAGTGGTAACTTTGATAGCCACGTTTGAGAACATGTATATTTTAGTGGGGTGACAAATACTTTTGGCCTAGGCTGTATACATTTGTATTTGCTAAAGGCCTACATGGATGAACACTTCATGTGCTTTTGACAAAATAAGATATCTGTCGATTTTTCCTTCAATTTCTTATTACACTTTAGCATAAAGTTTTTAAATAAAACATCTTTTGTTAACATACAAAATAAAGCGTAGAAAACCACGTGCGCCTGCAAAGAGAGTTTGCAAATGGCATTTCAATATTTTTGGAGTCAAAAAGTGTGGGTGTAATTTGAAGAAGGGAGTAAAGAACATATTAGTAGTTAAAATTTTATAATAATATAAATATATTTAGAGCTATTATAAAAATTGTTAAAAAATCGACAGAAATACAAATATGAGCCATTTCACAGAAATTTAATAAATCGAAATATTCAAATGTTAAAATTATTCCACTTTAATGAAGTTATCTTCTGGAAATGACTTGCATCTGCAAGCTTTTCTATTCAATTTGATGCAAAACCTGTAAATACCATGTATAGCAATTACGGAAATTGGAACTCTTCTGTATCTTTTTATCAGAACGAGTTTTGTCCATTTTGCGTTAGCTCTCTGGGGAATTTCTCGAAAACTTGGAAAAGTTCACTATATTTACCTTACCAAATTTTAAGCAACTTGTATACATGGTGTAAGCACCGATACTGCGTAAATAGCCGAATTAGTCACAACGCGCCATTCATTTAGTCTTTAAACTGTTGGCGCAACCCGCATATACCAAATGAAGGCAGTTCATACACTTCTGATCCTTCCAACGGAGTGTTTACTTTCCTCTTCTACTTCTACTGGCGGTTACTGCATCCAATACTTTCAGAACTGTAGAGTTCCTTCCATCCGAACGACGTAACCTAACCAAGGTTACATAGTTCGCTGAACTATGTCATCGTTCCATTGACATCCATAAATTTTACGCAAAATTCTTCTTTCGAACACTCCTAACGCCGACTCATCAGATGTTGTCATCGTCCATGCCTCCGCACCATACAGCAAGACGGCATTGTTGAGAGACTAATAAAGTCCATTCTTTAGCCGTCGCGGGGGACTTTTCTTTTCGATATCAAATTCAAAGTTATGGTTAGGTTATTCTTTCGTTGATGATGGGCTTCAATCTCTCAGACGACACGCTCAAAAGAAACAAATATGCGGTATCGTTTAGTCTCTTTAGTCTGAAAATACGTCCAGCTGATAACAGACATATGTATATTCAGTCCACCGCGGTTGGATAATCATTACATTTAGATATCTGCGAAAACCAATATTTTCGTTTGAAACTGTAAGTTGCATTTCTAGCCGGCCAAGAGTAAATTTTTAAAAGTAAGCTGTTGGTGACTGCTCTCAGAGAGAAAAAACTCAAGTCGAATAAGGAACTACTTGGCTGTCAGTTGCAATTGCAGCTTTTCGTCATTAGGTCTTCCCTATGTTCTATTGATGGACGTTCTCGGCTACGCAGAGGCGGGTGCGTATTTTGGCTGCAACAAGTTACGTTCTCCGGAACATTTAAACCACTCGATCGATCGATTTTTATTAACAGGTGACAGCCATCTGGGTTAAAACTGGGTTAAAAACTAATAAGTGAGTTAGCTATTTTTGGCTTATTACAAACTTTTTTAAATTTTACTAACTTATATTTGTAAAATATAAAATGGATGTTGGCATGACGTTATAAAAACAACATTTCTTTTTCGGAATTCAACTTAAATAAATTTAGTTGCGCTTTATATAATTTAAATTATTTGAATTTTTGTATTTAGCTCTTTAATCTGCTCAAAATTCGTTTTGTACTCATAGACATATTTTAAATACACTAAATCGCATTTAAATAATTTTCAATACCTCCAATATTAAGAATATTTTTCAAGCTCTTAGAGTAATGACAAAAACTCGTTTCAATAGAGTTTTATTTTACCTTTTGCAGCTGTTTATTTTTTCAGTTATGGTTAAATATTTTTTGTGGTGCTCTAATTAAATTCCAAAACCAATTAAATACTGATGAGCAAAAAAAAAAAGAAAAAAGAAAACATAAAAAAGAATATATATGCACGTAAAAACACGAGTCAATATTGTATTTACTTTGACAAATTAGAGAAATGCATTTTTAGCACTAAATAAGCGAAACGAAAAAAATCTGTTACTTCAAAAAGGCACAAGGCATTAACATGAACGCGTGAATGACTGAGGTGAAAAAATTTAAAACATGTTTTTTTTAGTTCCATGGAAATCAATGTCAAATCAACCAGCAGTAAATAAACGAGTAAGTCAACAGCATAAAGCAATAAACATTTGCTGATATATTCCCTTGCATTTATATATTTACATGAGGGTTGCCCTTTATATATCAGGACTTCGATAACCGTAGCATTGAAATCTGTCGATTGACTTGAAAAAAATAATTCAGATTGGAAACATAATTTCAATCGAGCTTTATGACACACTTTGTCAATCAATAAAGAGGTCGTGTTGATTGGTCGAAAGAAATGTAAGCAAGAAATATGGCAGGGGTGCTTCCATGCATGTCTATGACAAGGTGACAGGTGCTTATTTGTGGGTTTAAGCGTTTAAACCCGAAAGTAAACAGCAGTTGACTGAGCGGTTGTTTAAAAATGAGCTGTCTTATTTTGCGCATTGAATTTGGTTTAATTCAAGTTAAGCGTTTTTATTTTGTTTCTACTCAACATAGCTTATGCTTAAATAAATTGGTTGAGTAATTCCCCTTTTTGTATTTTTCTTCAAAAAAAAGTTTTGGGATTCCCCTTTTTTTCTAATAGTTGTGAAGAAGCACGAATAATTATGTATTTTTTTTACAATTCGGAAGGGTTTTACTTACGAAATGGCGAATTTTAACGGAGAGAAGGTACAAGAAGTGCCCGATGGAAGAAAAGTCTCAGAAATATCAAACTCAGATATGTATAATATTTCGGAAAATAGTGAAACAAGTGCATCTGAAATATGTAGCAAACGCAAACCCATCTCTGCAGTACTTTGTGCTATTGACACCTCTTTCATTGCTGAAAACAAAGTGGTATGAAGTGTCACTCCATCACCTCGCCATTTTGGAATCGCGGCTGGAAATATTATCTCAACACGACAAGGGCCAACTTGATTTGCAAACTGAAAGAGTTTTCATCGAAAATCCTCACTTGTACGGTAGGGTCGATCATGGTGATAAATGGAACGATATTGACGAAGACACATTGCGGACATTTATTTCCGTATTTATTCTTTCAAACGTGTGTCGGTAAATATATTTTTGTTTGTTTTTTTTTTTTTAACTAAAGTAGTTGGTTTATATAAAATTTATCAATGACATCGGAATGGTACGGATTGATTGCGGTTTAATTGGTGCAAAATTTGACCGCTTAGTTTTGATTACTAGTTCGGTCCAATTTTATGAAGCTTTCGGTCGACTATAATAAAATTACCACAAAACAAATTTTCTCCGCATGGTACATACCTAACATCTTTTATTTGTCTTCTAATCCCAAAATATAAGCAGCAACCCTCGTATTGATATTTATATTGTATATAGTTATCACTTTTGTACTAGCACTTGGTTGTATTACTGTTTATTTCACGACTTTGATTCACTTCACAACTTGAATTGCGTTTACCAATAGTTTGAAAAATATTATATTTACAACAATTTTCAGATGACTGTGTGTTAGAGATTGCATTGGGTTACAAATTCAGCTGTTTTTTTTTTGTATTTATTTGCTTTTCTCTGTTATTACCGTCAGTCAACACAGCTTTAGCTGCAAGCGTTAACATAAATTTATTGATTTGAGCAAACATTTACGCCCCATCGTGCCGTACACACACACACACGCAAAACTCCTCCAGCATGTTGTTTCCGCGCCGACTTGTCTACGCGCGTAAAATAACTAGTCAAAAGGATTAGGTGTATGTGTGTGTGGGTGTGAGTTTTGTGTGACAGACAGGCTCTCAACCAATCAGTCTGGCATAGAGTTGGTGTGCCAAACTGTTAGTGCCTTTGTACGTGTGCGTGTATAAAATTATTGAATCAATCAGTCAGTTTGCAAGCGCAGAATGAAATATAAAGTGAAAAAAAAAATACAACATAAAAAAACAGAAATTTCTATTGAGCAGAGTGTAACCGTTTAAAAATTAAATAAAAACATCGCACTTTTCCGATTTACATTTTTCCGATTTATTTGATTTATCAATTGATTTGTTTGCTGCTGCTAACTGCCATCGCGCGTCAACTAAAATGTGTATGTGCATTAGGGTGTACGCTTTTTACCAAGTCATACTAAGAAATGTACAGCTCGAAACGAAAATATCTCTTGTAATTTGCTTGGAAAATCTATCGACTTAAAAGCAAGATTAAGTAATAAGACCAACGGTTGTTATCCTCCTGTCCAACTGACACGAATTACGTAAACCGCATGACGTGCGGAATTTGCCATACTATGAAAAGGAAGAGTTTTTAAGCGTCGAAATTTTAAACTGCTCCGCTACAGGCAAACAAAACCATCAGCTGAAATAAAGAAATTTAATGAATTACTTTCCAAGGGCGGTTAGTGTAGTATTTTTCAATATAAAAAGTGATTTCGTTAAATCGAAAATAAATGGCGAAATGGTTCACAGATTTTATTTAATTGGTCACACATCGGTATTTATACCATTGCTTTTCAAAGGCAAGGGACTTTAACACAGCGATATTAAAGCTTTAAATCTTTACTAACTTCAGCAATCTTTACTAACTTCAGCAAAGTTTAAATAATGAATGAAGAATGCAAATGTTACGGATCAGAATGACTTATCCAACTTCATGGATGGATATAAGCTTGTTGAAAGGAGAGTTTGTAAACCAATTTTAAGTTGAGGCTACCAGACTATTGCATCGTCCTTTAAGCAGAATTTATTGCAATCACATTTAGCTAAGCTGCCAACGGATCTCCTCAATGTAAAAAGTGGCAGTAAGATGCAAAAAAAAGCACAGCTTTGGTCTGTTCTGGACGTTAAAAGTTCAAGGAATCTTATCTAGTATAATCTGATTTTACGGTAAGAGACCTTTTAACTGACTTTTGTCGTAGCTGCAGGGACAAAGAAGAGAAATAGTCTGTCGTCCACTACTTCTGTCACTATTTGGCCCGAAGCATTATATGACATAAACACCAAGGATATAACTTCCTTGAATACCTTGCTAACGTAGCAACGGCTGGTATAGGCAATATCGCATCATTCACTAGATACGTGAAATAGTTGTTAGATCTCCACAGCGGTAACACAACATGCCTTCAGGTCTAAGTTCGTTGGTTACTCTGATCAGCAATCCCATCAGCTCAACTAAACTCCTTGGTTAAACTTTCTTTGCGAACCTCAACTGGAAATTAAAGATGCGAACCAATTATATACTATCATTTCCGTAACAGAGGCAAAATGTCCTATTTTAGGAATGAATTGAAAAGATTTCTAGAAGACCGATACAATATATAAGAAAGTTTGTCGAAATCGCATCAGGATCGTAATTAAAATAATTCTTTAAAGCTTTCAACAGACATAACACCTTTTCGGGAGAAAGATTTAGGGTGTTAATTGCAGATTGCGCATTAAGACATTATTATGACTTATGACAGAAAAAATTACTTCTGGTTGAAATAATTGAGTAATTGAACTGGAAGAATTGTAGAAACATATTCGAGATATAATAAATGTGTCTTGATGTGGTAGTTCCGTACGTCATGGCAGACGGAAACAAATTTTTCCTGATTTTTGAATGGCGAATTTGGTTATACATTTTCTCAATTATCAGGGAACCTTGCAAGAAAAACAAGCAACGCGGTAAATAACGGACACCCTAACAAGCCATATAAATATTGTACAAGGCGCTCTCTCCAATATCCTGCAATCAGCAAAGCCAAATACCTGTCTCTCGAAATAATCGCTTGTTAGCTAACATAAATCATAAATTGTTAAGTAAATAACGAAAAAAACAAAAAAATACTTGAAAGCTTTAATTTAATTTTATTTAGCTCTTATTTGCAAACGGAAAAAGTTATATCGATACATATACTTAATTTAAAGCTACTTAAAATATACCGTAACTGAGTGACTCATTGACAGTAAATTATAAAACTTTTGGTGATGAGTTAAGCGTTTTCTCCTCTTCATCAATTAAATTGGCTTTTTTAATTTTCTATCAACCGAATGCCAGCTGTTATACCTTTTAACTTTTTTTATGTTATTTTGGGCTTTTCATCTTTGGCAATTATGATCGTATTAACATTTTTTAATGAATAATCCTTTCAAAAATATACTGTGAAATTTTCAATATTTTTGAAGTTATAGCCACAAAAAAAAGCGCGGAGTATTGGGTAAGATTGAAATGAAGGTCAACCAGCCCGGGACTACGCTGGCACTGAAAACAATGCACGAACTTTACTGCAGAAGCCAAGAGAAAAGAGGCCAGAACTTTACGCAGGGCTCTAAAAGCCGCTGAAAATGATAATTTTGAGAAAAAAGAAGGATTACACATTCCCTCAGACATAGCTGACTGATTTATGAAACATTTGAAAAATTTATTTTTTTGATAACTTATTAATTTTTTTTGTAGATGATTTTGTTTATCTAGGAACCTGCATTAACGCCAATAATACCGTCAGCCTTGAAACCCAGCGCAAAATTACTCCACTACTTTGGACTGAGTAGGAAATTGAAAAGTAAAGTCCTCTTCCGACGAATTTAAACCAAACTCTACAATCCCCTCATCGTTCCCGTCCTGCTATATAATGCAGGATCATGGACGATGACAACATCTGATGAGTCGGCGTTAGGAGTTTTCGAGAGAAAAAGTTTGCGTAAGATGTATGGTCCTTTGTGCATTGGCGAATATGGCAGATGATGAAACGCTGAGCTGTACTGATACTGATATAGTTCAGCGATTAAAGAAGCAGCAGATACTCTGGCTAGGTCATATGTCCAGTTGTTATTTCCAAGTAGATATTAATTTTTTTAAACAATTTGTCAGCAAACAAATTTAGATTTGGTTAATTTTTCCACAAGTCCCCCATTTCATTTCTTTTTTATTTGCATGTGAACTATAAAGAGTAATAATCAATTCCCTTTTTTCAGATAACTACGAAAGGCTGTGTGCTTCCCTGGAAGACCTCAACATATATAATAAAATCAATGTAAAATTAAGTTAAAAATGTATAATCTTTGTGTTTACAAAACAATTGCATATTATTTCCCTGCTGAAGAAATTTCACAAAAAACGTCCAAATTTCGACCGTCACACCGAGCTGCTACTTTAAATTAACCGAAATTTACAACATTTTTACTTGTGGCCGTACTAGCCGAGTAGTTAGTAATGCGCACTGTCATTAGAACCGAGTTCAAGTCCTGGCATGGTCAATGGCGCTTTGCAACCGGTGAAAGAACTTTCGTCCGAGATCCTCCTCTTATTTGTGGTAAGCGTCTTGATGTTTTTTCAACAATTGTAGATACATACAGTTCGTACTAAACTACCTCCGAACAAGTGATGGTTTTTTGTTAGGAATTTTGAAGGTTCATATTATGAATACACTCGAAGATGGTGAGATTCTCTGCAGAAGGTCGACCGCAATTAGAAAATTGGAAATCAAGGCTTCTTGTTTTATCTCAACAATTTTAAAACATTCAAGAAACTAAATCTTTAGAAACCTGAAATATCTTAAGTGAACGGTTTTCAGAATTGAATAAGAGGTGTCCTTCTTGTACTTTTTTGGTAGGAATAGGAATATAAGAAGTTTCGGTAGGTTTAGTGTTAAAGCCTTTGCATTTTCTAAATAACGTAAAAATTAAAAGCGAAACTGCAACATTATATTTATCTTACATTTTTCCTAACACACTCACCAACCACGGTCTTAGCCACTGAGTACGAGAAAATATCAACATTGTAATGGAAACAGAAATTGCAAGTAAACACTAGCTCATTGTGCTTTCTGTACGCAATCGAGGCAATAAACACTAACGCTGCAGCTTGGCTACCATTGCAAGCATCTGGCAGTAAAGGGCACTTAGGGAGGTAAGTAGACAATGGATACATTGTTGTTGTGGAGAGTTGCAGGAGTGTGGAGGTGAGAAGTGACGTCATTAAGTGGGCAATCACTTGTTTGCACAAATAGTAAGCGAAATTTTTTTGTAAGGACGAAAGGCTGTAAAAATAAATGGAAATGAAAAAAAAAACAAGCACAATAATTAAAATTTTATTACAGTAATCCTTTTATATCGTTTCTTTCTAGGCTGCATTCGCTTATTTTTTACATTTTCACTATTAAATTTGTACACACCGCAAGAGTGCTGCGTCTGTAAGCAGGCTTGCTGCTTATACTGTTATTGCTCTGACCGACAGTCGGTGCTTTGCCACCGCAGCTCGCTCATGCAGTTAAAGAAAAAGCGAGTGAGCAGGGCTTTTACTTCATTATAATTCATAACGAAGAACGAAGAAAGTAGTTCTTTCTGCTTTATTTTCGCATTGTATTTTATGCAACTTTATTGCAATTAACAGTGCAACTTTCTTTTTGCTTCCGCTGCTATTTTCAGTTTTATTTACTTTCTCTCTAAGTGAGTGAGTTGTTATATACAATTATGTATATAAATTAAATGCGATAATTTTATGCTTTCAAGGGCATTTTTTAATGCTTTACGACTCTTTCTTGTAACAATAAAACTTGGTTGAGTTGCAAAAAAGGGTCAAGTTTTCTACTTATTGATTTTGAAAGCTATTCTGTACACAAGATGGCAGATTTAAAACTTTAAGTCAAACTTAACCGCATTGGCGCTAAAATTATAACTCTGAAAGGTGTTACTTTAGAGTAAGTAAGAGAGTAATGTTTTAAAGCATTAATACATTTCTCATAATCATATGTATATGCGAGCGCAGCAACAACAGCATTTCAAAATAAATTGAAAAGCATAAAGGTGCCGTCAGACATTCGTTACGTCTTATGTCCAAATGTCAAAATTATCATATTTCACATTAATATATCAAAATTTTTGCAATTTTATTTTAAAAATTAAATTGCTGATAATTAAATGTAGTTATGCGCTGAAATTTTTATTTCTGTAACGACATATCATTTCTTACTTATTCCTGCAGCAAAGGCAACGTATAAATTATGTATTTGACGTCTAAGTGCATCGCTGAAAATTAAGTCTGATATGTCATAGTAAATGTCCGAAAACCATTTCGAGTAAGGGAACCGTTCTTTTATTGCAACATTACTACTGCTGCTACTATGCTTACCAGATAAGAGGTATTAATTTTTCATACCCCGCAATAGCAGTGTGTACTACAATTCGAATAGCGTGGGTTCAAGTATGGTCTGACCATTATAAAATTATTAATGTAATAAATAAAAACCTAAATTAATTTTTCCAATAGCAGTCACCCCTGAGCAGAGAATGTCAAACCTTCCTAGCAATAACAAAAGCACCTCATAAAAATCCATCAGGGATTAGGAGTCAGCTTAGAATAAAGTACAGGCCCTTCGGTAGAAAATTGTTTCAATATCTCTAATGCGCCAGATATGTATGCATTTTCTATCTATGGCGTATTTTGATAATTATATTTCATTGAAGGAGAATTTGGTAAAGTATTAATTCCTGCTTTATTGTATTATATTCATTATTATTATTACTTTTGCTATTAAATATAAGAACATATGCGACATGTATCGTACTAATAGTAAAAATATTTGCACTAGTATCGGGATCTAAGTAAAGTTTTTGTTTACTTAAAAGACAAACCACGACTTTTTTGGATTTTTAATAATCGATCTATTTTACCTCTTCACTTCCAAATGGTATTGCCTTACCGATTTTATTTGTGGGTATAGTTTCGTTGGTTGCCACTGTAATAAGTGGAGGTAAGTAGAAAATGGATAGTTGATTCGTCAGTTATTAAGCTTCCTTTCTCCTTTACTGATGATTAGGTATTAGTTAGCTATCAAAGCTTGTAATTGAAATCAAATTCCATGAATAGTTCGCTCTATTTGTGTACCCTCTCAGTTCTGCCAAGTTATGAAGCAGGTAGAATTGACAGTTCTCACGACATATCTAGCACGAGCCACTTCGTACGCCTCTTCACTAAATTTAACTCATCACATAGATCATGTTCACAGTGCTAGTCTGTGAAATACCCTTTGCTTGTTATGTACAGCCTAGGCCCCACTAATTACTGATTTTTTTGAACAAATGAAGTTCCATTAGTAAAACAGTGAAAATACAATTAATTAGTGGTAATAACATTAATATTTAGTAGGTCCACCATTCGATTTAGTAACGGCAGCAATTCTCTTAGGCATGCTGCGTACAAGCGTTGCACATTCGCTCGCAATTATAGCGTCCACTCGTTAATTAAGATATTCTTTAAAGCAGTTTTTGTTGTTATACTGTGTCCTTTAATCTTGCGTTTTAAAATGGCCCACATGTGCTCAATGAGATTTAGATCTGGAGACTGTGCAGGCCAATCTAACAAAATAATGTTGTTATCTTTAAACCAAAGCATCATAGTCGCTGATTTCTGATATGGAGCATTGTCTTGCTGAAATTGCACCCCGTCTAAATTAGTATCGCCATAAATGCGCGTTAACGAAGGCAGAAGAACAGCTTCTAATCCTTTTATGTACTTCTGACTATCCATGCGACCCTCGCAAATGAACATTACACCGACACTATAAGCATCCCTGCAGCAACAGATCATAATGCTTCCTCATCCATCTTTAACAGTGGGTAACACGCAATCGCCTCACGAACGTCACAACAGGTGTTCCAAATATCTTTAGAAAAGAAAAAATAATGTTTTCATAAGATTTGTATCATGTCAACGAAATTGCTCTAGGGTAAAAAGCTTTGGCTGTTTATACTTTAAGACGATCTTAACTATGCTTACCGCAAAGTTTGATTCATCAGACCACAGAACATTCGACCAATCTTCTTCCGTGAAATGTTGGTATCGGTTGGCCCAATCGTAAGGGTAACAAAGTTTTGAAAATAAATTATTCAAAATAAATATATAATGGGTATTAATATATGACGTAAATCTTTATAAATTTTAAGTATTATTCTTTTTTTTGCAACTGAATCACTCAAAATTTTTTAACACGGTCCTGAAGAATACCCTCACACACATGAATAAATAAATGATATTTCGTTTATTTCTACACATCCACTTCCTTCGTTTATTTTTCATTGCAAGTACTCATTGTGATATATAGATTATCACTCTCTCTACTTTGACTTTTTCCAAGTACCAACTCTGCTTTGAAAATGATTATTTTCTTCTTCGATAAAAGTTTTGAAAGCAGTTTTTGCAATTTGCTTCATATTAATTTTTTTCATATGAACTTAGTTTTGAAATCCATAATCGTTCTCCGACTTACCCGCCACAACAAAAAGGAGGAGAGCAACAATAAGCTAATAGCTGCGAATATGTGAGAACTCATATTTGAGTTTAACAAATTCCCATTTGTTTTCGGTATACATAAAACCCACCATATTCGTTATACAAACTTGAATAACCAAGTAAAGAGACATTTTATAGAATGATATCTTAAAAGGTGAAACAAGAAGTGAAACAGACAAAGTATTAAATTCAGTAAAAAGTTGGAACAGAAAACCCTGCAAATTGTTGGTATTTTCTAAAAAAAAAAACAAAAACTCCAGAATGTACTGCAAAAAGAGTAAACAAAATTAAATCTGAAAAGACAAGTGAAGGATAATCCTTGGCTCCCAGTATATGCCTCAAGAATATCAGAAAAATACAAGGCATATTTATGAAACACCTGTACATTTGAGTATATATGAGTTAAGTGAAATCATTTAACCGGAAAACTGAAAAAATATTAGAAACTTATATTTAGCAACACTATGTACAAACTGAAATAGAAAGTACGAACATATAGTTTTTTGAAATTGAAGTTAAAATAGAAGGCCAAAGAAAAGACTATAAAAAATAATAAATTTATGAAAAATGCGTACGACAATTTTTATTATTTTTATTTTTTTCATTTTTTTTAGCTGTTTTGCTTCCCTCCACCAACCGCCCAACCGACCATCCAAGCATGTCTATTAACTGCCACTTTCTTCTGTTTTTGCAAGTGAAAACTTTTCCCCG